AAAAAAAAAAAGTTAAAATATCTTGCAGGAAGGAAGATCAAAGTTGGCACACCACAGCTCCAAAAGTAGAACAATATTTATGTTCTCACCACAGGTGACGTTTCGAGCCTAAAAGCTCTTCATCAGACGATTAGGCTCGAAACGTCACCTGTGGTGAGAACTTAAATATTTTTCTAATTTTGGAGCTGGGTGTGCCAACTTATGCAATTTTTTGTGGTTGAGCACCCACATTGAGCTCTTGGACTGTTGGATGTGTGCACTTCAGGTGTAATTCTTTACAGTCCTCACATTTTTTATTTTCAGTAGTGTAAACGCATTAAAGTTGCAAAAACGTGCATGATTTTTAATATTATTTAAATATTTAAAGGGGACATATATGATGCTGCTAAAAAGAACATTATTTTGTGTATTTGGTGTAATGAAATGTGGTTTAAAGTACATTATTGTTTCTCCTCTATGGCCCGACTTTTTGAAACGTGTCAATTTTTACAAAGCTCATCGGTCTGAAAAAGCGAGGTGCTCTGATTGGCCAGCTATCCAGTGCGTTGTGATTGGCAGAATCCCTCTAGCGTGTGACGGAAATGTTACGCCCCTTACCATACTGTTGATGCCGTGTCCCGGCCGGAGCGACGAAACAAAAAACATGAAAACCCATTACAAATGAGGCATTTGTTGCATCCAGTGGGGACATAATTACTGATTATAATGACTTTTTACGTGTTGCGTTGCATCGCGGTGCGTAAACATAAAACCATGTCTGCATTTGTGATCGGAGAAATGACAAACTACAAACGCTACTCTACACTGCCCAAAAACTCGCGTTTGAATCATCAGTGGCAAATCCTTTAAATGAAAACGTACTTACAGACTGTGAGTCAGAACTGCCGGCATTGTAGTCTACTCTTCCAGGATCAGTTCTGGAACAGTGTTGTAAATACAACTTAACCACTGATTTGTAGTCGTGTCCTCTTTTGGAAGACCAAACAAAGTTCGCTTTCACAACGAAACACGCGGTGGCCTAGCGTGAGCAGAGGCGCGGGCTTGAGAACGGCGCGGCCAGCGGATTCAACGAAGGAGTGGCAACCACATGTGACGACCCCGGGCTGGACTCCGCTTCGTCCACGGTGAAAGCCGATCCGGCGATCCACAGCACTAAGTTGATGTATTCCCTCAGCGACCAGCACAGATCAGCTCTAGGCATGACGAAGCGGATATCATCCTCTTTTGGAAGACCAAACAAAGTAGTTTCGCTTTCACAACGAAACACACAGCGTCTTCACGACATGGCGGCAGCAACAATACTACAGCAAGAATAAAAGTTACGCCACCTTTCTTTGCGCGAACATTTGGGCGGCGTTATGCAAATCTTCCCACATAGTGATGTAGATATATGGGGGCGTGTTATAACGAGCTGTTTTAGGTAGGCATGGTTAACTTAACTTTTATAAAGAATATCTCTTTGGATTTTAGATTTTAGTCTTTGCAACTTTACAGATCTTCTTTATGCACCAAGAGCTTGTAACACTTCAAAGAGAAAGGAAACATTGAAATCGCATCATATGACCCCTTTAAAGTTGTCCAAAGCCCCACTTTTCCTGTAGTGTTTCCAAACCTTAGGAGGAAAATGCGTCTCAAAACTATCAGTTTTATTGGTATTAATTAAATAACTAGTAACCATTGTTATATTTAAATACTACCATATTATGGAGCTGTTTTGCCTGATAAGGCTATTACACAAAGCACAACCTCATGATTGGTGCTACAGCAGGGGGCAGTCATTATCCAGATAGTCCTTCTGTTCCACTGTGAACTAGAAAATGGAAACTATTCTCCTATTGGTGGCATTTGCAGAAAGTCAAACCCCAGTGCAAAAACACCCACAACAATGAGCATGATTCCGGGTTTTAAATAAGATTCAAATGACATATTGCGGCTTGAAGCAATCTTACCTGATGTTGAGAAGTTAAAAATAATATAGTGAATGATCATATTCACAAAGCAATTTAGTGCATTCTTTTTCACCTTTAATAAATGGAAGAAAAAAAACAGGCAAAGACAAAACCTGTGATTTGAGCACAATAGAAATTGTTCATACAAAATTAAATCGACAACACAAAAGTGAAGGCACACAAAAACATACATCTATCATACAAAGTGATCCCTTATGGATTATATTTTACAATAAAACTAATAGCAATAAAATCAACCATGTGGTATCAACTCATTTGTGATATTTCTTAAATTAACTTTGTCTGGTTGGCACTATTTTTAAGGTTACATGACAACTTAATGTTTTTATGTTCATGTGTATATTTTGAATTGACTAAAATGTGACAATCAGCTACTGAAGCTGCAATTTTCCAAAAGTTTCATCACTTTATTAAATAAATTACAAAGTCTAAAATAGCTCTAAAAAACACAATTGATGTATATCTATAATTCTATACAAAATTCTCTCTCTATGCAAAAGAGTGTTTCAAACATCAACCTTTCCCTTGGCTTTTTTTTTTTATATCATAAAGTCCCAGCTTCACCTACAAATGCTAAACCAAAGAAATAAATTCTCTAGATAAATTCTTCTCGTCCTGAGAGGTCAAAACCTGGTGCCTAGCTGCTGTTGAAGCTCTTTGAAAGGCTTGAGAATGTATTATGTGAAGAAAAATACAGTGGTGATATTTACTATTATTTTTTGTTTATTTATTTGTAAAAATTCTTACAATCATATCAATTTAAATGTTCAGCATGCTAGCTATAAAGTGCATGACTCTGAACAGGATGATCTTGATTTCGGCTAAGTTTTTTTTAATGGTTGGTGTGGTGTGGGTGTGTGTGTAGCAGCATTTAAAACCGTCCCTGTTTAGCGTCACCGATGGCTCCCCAGACGTCGAACACAAACTCATCTGGGAAGGCAAAGTCACCAAGAGCCTCGTCCAGAGCCATGGCAAACTCATCAGGGTTCTTCTTTTCTCTGCCCACCTCGACCATCGTGGCAGCTGTGCAGAAGTGAGAAGGAGGATAAAGTCATGACACGTTAGTAATATTTGTTAATGCAACAAACCATTGCAAAAGTCGCTTCGGCACCTAGATTTTGGTACTGTGTGGTTATCCAACAGTACCAAAATTATTTAATATACAGTTTTTGTATATTAAATAAACTTTTTGTTTTACATATATAATAAGCAATGTAGAACAAATATGTAGTAAAATGTACACTACCATTCAAAACTCCTATTTTTAAAGAAATGAATGCTTACTCAGTAAGGAAGCATTAAATTGATCAAAAGTGGCAGTAAAGCCTTACAGTGTTTAAGAAGATTTCCATTTCAATTAAATGCTGTTCTTTTGAACCTTCTCTATGTCATTCATCAAAGATTATAAAATAATTTTTCACAATATTACTGTTTTTTCTTGCATTTTGATTAAATAAATTCTGCCTTGGTGAGCATATGAGACTTTTTTTCAAAAACGGTAAAAAATTTTACTAAAACCCAAACTTTTGAATGGGACTGTAATTAAAACACACTTTCATAATAAATAATAATAACCATTTATTTCTATAGCACTCTTCATACAAGATATGCAGCTCAGTGTGCTTCACAACATATAATGGAGTCATAAAAAGAAACATTGACAAATACAATTTCACACAATATCAATATAAATAATACTCAAAAACAACTTTAAGAAGTTCACAAGGTAAACTGTTCATGATAAGATATCATCCTTACATGACATTCCATGATGTGAAACACTACAGAAATCTCACCTAATTCAGTGTCTCGAATGCCCATGTAACTCTCAAGAAGGTCATCCACTTTCTTCACTGCCTTCTCTTCAAACTCTGTGGGCTGTGGAGTAAAAGAAAAGCATTGGATGTACTCTTTAAGTGAATGTCATGACTCTTAATACTGTCAGTGGCCATGTTGCTGGTGTTATTGTATATGTCAGATTGTTTCCACCATGGAATATGGAATGAAAGATCATTTCTGATAATTTCTCTGAATTCTGAGTTTTTGCTGGACAATTCTGAATTAATTTTCTGAATTCTTAATTTACATCTCGCAGTTCAGTTTTTGTTCTGTCATAGATTGCGACATTGAGAGAACACGGTTACTGTCATTAAGTGTCATTCGCTCAGTTATGTCATTTTTAATGCAAATATGACATTATTTGACCTAACCCTACCCCTACCCTTACCCCTAACCATAGCCCATAACAAAGACATCTCAAACAAGGTCATCTTTGCATTAAAAATTACATAACTGAGTGAATGACACTTAATGACAGTTGTCATAAACATACATAAAAACCCTTCATATTCATGACATGTGTCGTGTCATGTCATGATTATGTAGGTGTCATGTCATGATTATGAAGGTGTCATGTCAGTCTTATGCATACCCCTTCAAGTAAAGTGTAACCGGAAATTTTAAGTATAAAATTTCAAATACTTAAAAGTAGTCTCGATTACGTAAATTGCAAGTTTTGGTTACACTTTATTTTAAGGTGTCCTTGTTACAGTGTAATTATGCATTTAAGTACAGAGTAATATTAACTACATGTACTTACTATATGTTTAGGGTTAGCAAAATTTTAGGGGGGCTGAGTAGTCACTTTATATCATTCTATTGCCCCCCTATAAATGGTCTATGCCTTTCAGAACACAGAGTGGCCAAAAAGAAAACTATGATTTAGATTTTTTTCACTTTACTTAAAGCAGACAAAGACCACTTATAAATACTACTAATCGCTCTCTCATATATATATATATATATATTTTTTTTTCCTCAAACAGCCATAAGATCAGATATCAGATGAATGTGTTCAAATTTGCTTTGAACTATTTTTTATTGTAATATCAGTATGGTTATTTTGATGATAACTTTGCAACTACATGTCAACTAGCAGTCATTGTAGTATTAGTAGTATGTCTGCTAAATAAATGCAAACACTTTATTTTAATTGTTCCCCAACTGACATTCTTCTGACTCTAAGCAAATCATTGCATATTTTAATTTGAAAGTATTACAACTGAGCTTAAACTAGCTTACAGTAAAATTAACATTAACGTAACAGGAAACACTCAAAAATACTCAACCACTCCTAACCACTCACAAGATGTGGTAAGATAATGTGCAGATCTTAAATAAATTAAGTGGATTTAATAAGGCATTCATTGTGTGTTATAAATGGTCACACTCTTAAAAGTTATAACCACAAATGCATAGGTATAATTGTTGTTATGATTAATTATGAGATGATACAACATATTATACTTTTTTTTATAATGCATTATGCATTAATTATAATGCCTTAAGAATACCCTTATAATTTATTATAAATACGGGCGAGATTCATAGAAAGTGTTACCAAAAAATGCTTTGAAAATAATGGCATAAACACAATATAATACTAATACAAAAATGCAAGAAGAATGTGTTATGGCAACCAGGTGCTATTCTGGGATCTTGGCAGGGCAATCTGCTCTAATTACAATGAATGAAGCCATGATGATTAAGCCAGCATGAATATCAGACTTAAAAAAAAAAAAAGAACAAACGTGATGTATACGGGGGTTGAGGCTTTGAAAGATTAACACAGTTCAGCAGGTGAAAATGCTGAAGCAGCCAGGTTTAACACCACACGGACATGTTTGTAGATGAAGTGAAGAGAATCATCAAATCATTCATTACAACGGCTGACTAACCAGCTAGCTTAAAGATCACTGTGTAAATCCATTCACAACAGCAAACATCAACATTTCTCCATGGGTAACCATTAACATTGGTGAGGTAAAGGAAGCTTTCAAAACTACCAGTTTTCAAAACTTCACTGTTTACACCCTGTGAATGAAGAGTGTCGATCATGCTAGTGAAATTCTCAATTGGGTCAGCTTTGTGTTTAACATACTTGTTAACCTGACACGTGTTGAAGAGAAAGTTTTCCCCCAAAAAATGACATTTCTGTCATCATTTACTCACTCTCATTACAAACCTGTATGACTTAATTTCTTTCTTTCGGAAATTTAGAAGAAAGTTTCAGATGTTTTTGTCCATACGATGAAGGTCAATGGGGTCCAAAACAACACCGGACCCTGTTTACTTTCATTGTGTGAAAAAAGGGCATTTTTGAAAATAACAACTTTTGTGTTCCACAGAAGTCCTTCAGGTTTGGAAAGACATTAACAACCTTTTTGGGAGAACTTCAATACTGTGGTAAAATAAATGGCACGTGTCTGCTATTTTGTTTGCAATTTGTTATATACTAGAAACACAAATCATCTACCAAATCCATCAGTTCTGGTGTACCTCAAGGTTCTGTTTTGGGCCCTCTCATCTTTACCATTTATATGCTACCAATTACTAACTGGTAATTGCTAAGCTCTCTGGTCAACTGATGGATCTGGATGGTGATCTGATTATGCCCTCCACTAAAGTTTGCAATCTTGGTGTTCTCATTAATTCCAATCTTTCATTCAATGATCACAGGGGTAAAGTAGTAAAGACAGCTTTTTTCCACCTACGTAATATCTCTCGTATTCGATCCTCTCTCAGTCAGCAGGATGCTGAAACTGTTACACATGCCTTCGTCACATCTCAACTAGATTACTGTAATTCACTTCTTTATGGCCTGCCAGCTAATAATATCAAGCGACTACAATATGTTCAAAACTCTGCAGCTCGCTTGATTACCCACACAAGAAAGAGCGATCACATTACCCCAATCCTCTATCACCTTCATTGGCTTCCGGTTTCCTTGCGCATAAGCTACAAGATACTAATTCTCACTTATAAAGCTCTCCATAACCTTGGTTCTACATATTTATCTGACTTACTCCTGCCTTATGTTCCTACCCGCTCCTTACAATCTTCTAGTGAGGGATTGTTAGTCACCACTAAGTTTCGTCTGGTGACTATGGGAGCTAGGGCTTTCAGTGTTGTGGCTCCCAGATTGTGGAATGCTCTTTGCCAAAACATCTGTCAAGCATCCTCTCTTCTCTCCTTCAAAAACATTTTTTTCTCTGAGTATTACTCTTCAGTTCTCAGTCTGTAATTTTTACCCTGTTATGGATGTTTATCTACATTCTCTCTGTATCTTTAATCTAACTTTGTAAGTGTTCTGTGTATATTACTCTCAGCTCTTGGTTTGTGTTCTGTCTTCTGGTATTGTTGTTTATTTGTTTCTGTTCCTTAAACCTGACTTGTAAAGTGACCTTTAAATAGAAGTTGTTAAATTTTAAAAAAAAATTCTGTATTTCATAAAGTAAAGGTAACAATCCCATCTGATCCATATGATAAAATGTGTTTATTCAAAATACACAGACTGACTGACGTCTGAAGTTAACAACATAACCATCTAAACGGGTGCGACTGAAATTGTGTTGTTTGAACACATTCCATTCAGCTGACAACAGCAAGTACATACTTGAAGGACACGTTACAACACTGATAAATTATATTCCTTATAATGACCCTGAGTAGGATCAACCTCTGTTTTCAGTGTGGGTGACAAGTATTGCAACATAATATGTGACCCTGGACCACAAAACCAGTCTTAAGTTGCACAGGTATATTTGTAGCAATAGCCAAAAATACATTGTATGGGTCAAAATTATCGATTTTTCTTTTATGCCAAAAATCATTAGGATATTAAGTAAAGATCATGTTCCATGAAGATATTTTGTCAATTTCCTACCATAAATATATTAAAACTTAATTTTTGATTAGTAATATGCATTGCTAAGAACTTCATTTGGACAACTTTAAAGGCGATTTTCTCAATATTTAGATTTTTTTGCAGCCTCCGATTCCAGATTTTCAAATAGTTGTATCTCTGCCAAATATTGTCCTAACAAACCATACATCAATGGAACGCTTATTTATTCAGCTTTCAGATGGTGTACACATCTCAATTTTGAAAAATTTACACTTATGACTTGTTTTGTGGTCCAGGATCACATATGACAAGCATGTAAATGACTTCTAAATGAGAGTGTGAGATCAAAATGGCAGAAGACATGCACGAGAAAGACTGTGTTGAATTATTTATGAATCAATGCTTTGTAAGGTAAAAAAGTAAATTTAATGCTTTGAAAATAAGTCAATATATTCCCAAAGAATTTACTCAAGGCATTTTTTTTCAAACTCTCATTGCTGTAATGTGTCTTTTACTTTTAATCTTTGTATTTCTCAGTGGTATACACAAATCAAATAATTGCGTAAAAGTACGGATATAAGTACCCTTGAGTAAAAGTACAAAAGTATTTGATTTATTATAAAAAACATTCCTGAATGAAATACCAGTTTCTGTTACTGATAGTGACTTATCATTCAAGCGTGCAAACAATTGAATGAAAAATGAATGGCGTCATTATAAAAACGTGTTAACATTTTAAGAACACTATGCAAACATACTAGTTTTATATGAAACTGCTACAGGAGATGTGAAAACTCACTCTGGATCAATGAAATGATGAGGAACGATATGTTTTTTATGAAATGTAGTGGAATTTAAAAAAAAAACAGCATAAAGGCAGTGTAGCAAATACTACCTTGATGCATAAATACGGTTTCAAATAAACTATCAAAATATTTTAATTATGGTAATACAAATTCTTAATAACCCCATGATATATTTTTCCCATTGCTGACATATTGAAACAGGAAGTCTGCATTTGAATTCTGACACATTGAAAAATTGTCCCCTTTTTATTTTTTTTTTATTGTCCAATATGCTTTAGTTATGACTTAATCATGAACTATAATGTTAGTAGGTAGCTGGTGGTGTTTGTGGGTGGGATATTTCTAAGATATGACTAGACAAAAATTTGTGTAGTGTAGAAATGAGTCACGAAATATTTTTGGTGGATTTTCCAATAAAAAAGACATTTTAAAAAAGTGTAACCTATATTAGCTACTTTCAGTGCCACAAATCTGCAGATCTATGTCTTTAATACACATTAAAATAGGCTGAGTTTTTTTATAAGCAAAATATAAAATGATTCACTTCCTTTTAATTTTGATGTTCCTGCTGGGCTTTACAAAATTCACCTTATTAATAAACACAACAATATGGAATTGCATACCTTGTCACTGAATAATTCAATACTGACATAGCTGGAATTAAGTGTTTAGTCAGATTTCAAATGGTTACAGAGAACTGGTCTCGTATCTACAATGGATGATACTGTCTATGAAATATTACAGGAATTAAGATTGTACATCACTGGAGGCCAATGTTACTGCTACAGTTTACATGAAAGTGTATGCTAATGTCACACGGAGATATACTGTGTACCTGCCACACCAGATAACACTGAAGCTAATCAACATTGCTGCTGTCTATCTAGCTTTTCAAAAGCGAAAAAGCCAGCATGCACAGATCAACTCATTGACAACTCATTTGAACTTTAAAATAACACAAATGGCACCATTTTCACTGCTGCTTTCTTCTATCTTAATGGAAAACGAATGGGTCACAACTTGTCTGGCACCTATTATAACTCCATTAGCAATGCTACATACTGTCCACTCAAATAGACAGAGATTTTCTAGTTCATTTTTAGTTTTAATAAGGACTTCAAAGAGGAGATCAATGCAGATTACACTACTAGATTGCTCAGAACATAAACTGGTGATAAAAGAAAGTAAAATGAACTAGTCAAAACACACAGCAGCTTGAAGGCTCTAAAGCAAATGTTGAGTCTGGTCTAGATAGGCCTGCTAATTCAAAGACAACCGAGGACTCAACAATCAACCAATACTCCTAATTGATCGATCCTGCAAAACATAGAAAGCAAAACCGACTGTTGAGCAGACAACGCAATGTCCAGACAGCAGCACCTGCATGCAAATGCTAAACAAATGATCTGTTAGCTCTATTAAAGGACACTTCAGTGAATTCACGCAATCCAACATGTGCAACAGAGTTCAAATGTCATAGTACTAAACAGACATTGACCAGTGAAGTTCTGCGAAATTACAGATGAATGTCTTTTTACTTGTGTAAACCAACTTAACTACCATCAATGATGACTAAGAAGTCTGGCTTCAGTCTGCCAGTCACTTGACAAAATGAGTCTCTTTGTCACATTAATTTTGCATAGGAAGGTAATGAATGTTGTACAAGCGTTAACATGTTAACAGAGGGCAGTCTAACCTAATCGACACTGCCCTTTTAACCGGGTATACTTATTTTCTGGAAGCCGACAAGGATGCCTTGGGTGTTACGATATTGGGAGTAATCGGAGTATACCAAAGAATCCATTAAATATAACAGCTTTCAAGTTATTACTTAAATCCCAAATAGTAGCCACTTCATTAGCTAAAAAAATCATCCCAATATTCTGGTAAATACAGCACTAAGAAGAGACAACACATGCAAAAGAGAAATGAAATGCTGCACAGTATGCACTACTCCACACTCCCTCCATCCCGGGGGAGGCCGGAGCGATTTATCATCATGTGTTAGGGTTGTGCCCACTGTAACAGGATGCGAGGGATTTCCTCTGAGGACCTGCAATGTTCCTATAACATCATCAGCGAACCCACCATTTGAACATGCATATAATTAATGGTACATTTATAAAGAAATTGTGCTGGATTGAGGTATCAGCAATGGTTAAAACCTCACAAGGACATCAAGTGATTTATTTTCAGAATATAAACAAAACCATCTGTTAGCTAACCTTTAAACACCTCACACCTGATAGGTCTGTCTGATAGGTCTGGCCAAAAAGTCCAGTTACTAGTCCGACTGGTTTTTGGGATGAACCCCCTTAAGTGTTTTCAGCAGAGCAGAGCATTCTAAGAAACTTTCTCCAGTAAAGACCAAATGATATATGAGTGGCCAGACAACATTATTCACTGACACTCTGAAAAATAAATATTTTAATTGCAACCAATAGGATTTGAACACCTGGTGCCTTAGGAGAATCTTTTTATATTCAATACTTTTTTAGTTTTCTATGGATTTAGAAAGTATGCACTGCTTTAAAGCACCCAGATTCAAATATACTGAACTCAAAAGCCCATAACGCAACCCAATCCTGAGAAAACGTAGCTATTTCATGAGGTGGTGGTTTTGTATGAATTTGTATGGCGTGATTTGTAATGAAGACTGGACAAATTCATACAAATTAGCCACCAATTCACCAAAATTTAAAACAGTTATGAATTGCAATGAGTGTTGGCATTTCACCTTGAAGATTATTTCATCAACTATAAACTAAAAATGATTTATGTGATGCTTTTAAAATCATGTATATTGGTCAATGTTATACCACTTATCTTTGTTGCATGATCTATTAATAAGTTAGCAGAACAAATAACGCAAATACAAAAATTTACTTGAAAACACGTCTTTGCACATATTTCTTTGCACTACAAAGACATAACCCAGGAACTATGCCAACAATGAAAATGAAAAGTTTTTTGAAGAAGCAAATTCTTGAAAAAAAATTCAGAAAAAATGTTTTTGCCTTTTTTAAAGGATTTGAATTTTGTTTTAAAATATTACATTTTGTCAATCAGTGTGTCATAGCCATCATACAGGAAATCTAGCATGTAACAAAAACATCATAAAACAGAGAGGACCCCTTTAGACCCTCATGACTGTAGAGGTAATTTAGTCTTGACCTTTTTATGAAAAGGTTTTGTTCAGTTCAAATGGAGTAACAATAAGAAAACGTCTTGATATTTATGACTTTTGTATTCAAGATATCTGCAAAAATATGTTGCTCCTAAAAAAAAATGTGTATGAAAATTGTGTTTATAGAAATGATTACATAGCTACACCACTTGGGTGAAATGAAGGTCTGGAAAGTATTTTAGTACTAGTAGTATTGATACAAAAATTACAAAAAAAAAATTCTAAGCACTTGGCACATGCGTTTTAAACTAGATTTTCCTTTTTATATCAAATAGGCTACCCCTTTTTGCCATTGGCCCATATAACATTTTTATTATTTTACAAAAAGTACCAATTTCAGAACACAACCAGAACTCATTTCCGAAACCCAAAGCTGGTTATCATCAGACAGAAATGTCATCAACAACCCACGATTTTCAGTTCCCTCTTCCCTGTACCCAGAAAGACGCACCTTATGCAAACACCAGGCACTGTAGTTCACCAGGAGGTTTTTGATTAGCAACTATTTATTTCATTTATTTCTGACTCACTGCCTGCGTACCAGAGGCGGACAGTAACTAAGTACACTTTTTGAGTATCTGTACTTTAACTTGAGTATTATTTTTTCTGGGAACTTATGACTTTAACTTCACTACATTTGAAAGACAAATATTGTACTCTTCACTCCACTACATTTCTATCAAGCTCCTCGAAGTAGGAAGTCGTTACGATGTAGCACCTTTGAAAGTCAGTGGGTGATTTTTCGTCTTCTCTAAAACGTGACTTTCTTTTTTTCAGACAGTTTATCAGTAATCACTCTTGTAGGGCTACATGAAGTGATTTCCCAGCATTTTTTGAGCAGAACCTTTTGTGAAACAGAAAGGTTCTTCAGGTGTTAAAGTTTATTTATGGAACCATTTAGACAAAAAGGTTCTTCTATGACATCGTGAAGCACCTTTATTTTTAAGAGTGTAACTAAGTAAATTTACTTTAGTATTGTACTTAAGTACACTTTTTGAGTTCTGTACTTTAACTTGAGTATTATTTTTTCTGGGAACTTATGACTTTAACTTCACTACATTTGAAAGACAAATATTGTACTCTTCACTCCACTACATTTCTATCAAGCTCCTCGAAGTAGGAAGTCGTTACTATGTAGCAGCTTTGAAAGATTTTTCGTCTTCTCTAAAACGTGACTTTCTTTTTTTCAGACAGTTTATCACTCTTGTAGGGCTACATGAAGTGATTTCCCAGCATTTTTTGAGCACTGACCAGTTCCAAATGTGATATTTATTTACAACAATTCAATAATAAGAAGTTAATATTGTGGTATATATTAGACACAATATTGTCTGATTTTGCTAAATTGTGTACGTGAAAATATTACCTATAAAGCCACAGAAGAACTGTTGTGCATCTCCTAATAAAACACAATAGGTGTTGGACTTGAAGCAGAACTGCAGACCATTCTGTGCGTGCCATCAAAGTATTTTTGGCATTTTTTAAATGTTTGTTTTGATGCCAAATAAGTCTTGCTGTTTTGCTTTTTTGTTAAAGCAGTGTTGCTGTTGTAAAGTTGTACAGCTACAGTTGTGTTGCTGGGGTTTAAAGCAGTCTTCCTTATCACTCTGTATTTACAGGATTTCACTGTACTGTATTCAGCAGGTGTAATGTATTAAGATGCTTCAGAAGTATTGCAAGTATTACGTACAACAATAAAACAGTGCATTGACATAAAAAAGGACATTTACATTTGGTACTTAAGTACTTTTTAAAGCAAGTACTTCTGTACTTTTACTTGAGTAAAAATCTGTCTTTACAACTTGTACTTGTAATGGAGTAATATTTGACCAGCAGTATCTGTACTTTCACTCAAGCAATGGAGTTGAGTACTTTGTCCGCCTCTGCTGATTACGGACTCAAAAAGAAATATGTTTAATAGTTGACATTTACCTCATCCGGACTTAAATTAAACGCTTCTGCTATTTTGCTGTATAGCTCTTTGACGTTCGAGAAGCCCTCGATCCTGCCCGTGGGACTCCCGTGTGCGAGCTGCGTGTGAAACACCAGTTTCGGTCGCATGCTGGCAGGTGGAGGAGGGAGTCCGCCACCGTTCACCGCGGACTTCCCGACAACTGCGTGTCCGCTGACCTCCTCGTTTTCCACTAAGTTCGAGCTTTCCCTCGACTTGTTTTTCTTTTTCCTGAGTCCCAAAGGCATGTTCGCTCCTCCTGTAAATCCGTAGGGGGAATGAAGTACACGGGAACCGGACAGCTAAAGCATTGAAGGACGCAAATCAACCTGTTGAATGTGTCCTTTTTCTTCAGCTCGTTTCCACTCTTCGAATGCGAGCCGGGGGCTAAAAACGGTAGTGTTTAACAGGTAGCAGATTAGAAATATACGGCATGCGGATCTACTGTAAACTCTCTTGCCGTTGAGGCGCAGACAACGAACAACTCTATGGCCGAACGAACGCACGCGCGCTACAGGACGCCGTGACGTCATCCAGCAACTCATTTACCTGGCTCAGGTGTCAATTATTTAACTCCAACCGGTGAAAGTAGATGAAGATAAACATACGCCTACCAAGAACGATTATTAGTAGCCTATTGAAGATACACTTTCCTCTCCAAAGTCAGATTACATAACAGATACTTGAGTGTAGAACCAATACCCATTTTTGAATTTGTAATTGCTTATTTCGTCCAGCACTGTGTAAATCATTGTTTTCATCTTGGTGCCATTCACTCTTAATCATTTAGTAAGGATACAGTCTTGTTTGCCGTCATTCTTTTCACTGAGATTTAACATCTCGTTTCTGCTTTCAGAAATCACAGTCATCATTCTGATACGATGACTAATTTTGAGTAGCCTAGCAAAGGTTGCCGACTATTTTGGTCCTCATTTCCCTCATGTAGTCTGATTTTAAATATGTGGCGTCCTCTGGCGGATATTCCAATGAGTCTAATGATACACACTACAGTACAGTAGTTGAGGATTCTGTACCTGCTACATTTTTTTATTAAATCTGTCATACAGGTTTATCCATAAACTTCAAACACTAGACACTAGGAGTAGTCAATAGAGTGGAAATGTAAAATAAAATTATTCTAACAATGCAAACGCTCTCCTAACTTTCTATGAATAAGCATGGTGTGCTATGAACCCACAGCACAAGTAACCAAATTGTAGGTCTCTTTCAAAGACAATTACATTATGTGAGTCCGTTGCTCACATTTACAAGGATCTGAGATATCAGATCTGAAAAGGCATTAGTTGAGTCTTGCTGAATGCTTTAGCATCGCAAATGAAGGCAAGTATACATGGTACCTTAACACAGTTCACTCCAAGCCATCATTTACTAAAATTACATACTTTGCATTTAGAAAGAAGAACAGTACACGATCTGTCAGTATAGATGGGCTCTACTTGAAAAAGGCAAACAAATAAATCTGTATAATTTAGTCTGTAAAACACTGATTTCAATTAAACATTTTATACGGCACAATTCAAAAGCAGCATAAAAATAACAGTAACTTTGCGAGAACAAAAAAAATATTCAGACACAGATTGCACTTTAAGTTGGTACGGTCACAGCCATGCAACATAATTCATATATAGTATGTATTAGATATATAACATATATACTTAACAAACATTTAGATAAAAAATAGAAATTGCACATTCTCAAAATTTGATTTGTCATATTAGGGGACTGAATTGTTCATATAGAAATGTCACTAAGTCTGTCCAAGCTCAATTCATGAGGTCGGTAAGTGTCGTTTCAGGACATCCTTGGCATTAGATGGCAGACTGTCAGGAAAGTTCACATCAAACTCCACAATGAGGTCCCCTCTTTGTTCTGGGTTCTTTGGGAAGGGCAGTCCTTGTCCAGCAATGACCTTCCTCATGCCGGGTTTGATAACATCGGTTATCTTCATATTGCACGTTTTACCGTCTATCGTCGACACGGTAACAGAGCTGCCACACAATGACTAGGATCAAAGACAAAACAATTGTCAGATAAGAAATATTGGTAACTCTTTACAATAATATTATTAACAATATTCTGTTACCAAAATATTCTAAACTTTAACTTTAAATGTGTTATTATTAGTTCTACTATACTAATATGACAAAGTTTACATAAAAGCAGTCTTGTTAGTATTAACTGTTCATAACTGCATAACTACAATATAAATAGATATAAAACAAGTTATAAAAAGTTTTACATTTTCATCCCTTTATAAAAACAATGACTGACTAAGTTTTATGTATGCCTGGTGTGAGCTGCTTTCAACTCTGATTGAATTGGACCAGCTTTTAGATACGCATTCATTTTTCAGCTTTTCATGCTATTCATGCACATCTTGACTCTCAGTTATTCCTTTAAACTTTCTTCTTAAAACGACAAGCATCAGGACAAGAAGAACTTGTCAACACAAAACTTTCCCATTATGATAGTATCCTGTACACATATAGGCCTACCATCATTTCTATTCATTATACTGCAAATATTGTGTGCAAAAATATATCCAACTCTTTCCTTTTCATCACCTGCATCCCATCCAACAGCCTGAAACCATATTTCAATGGGTTTGACGGCCACCCTGTGTCATGACATTTACAGACACAGGACTGTCTATCAATGATTCTGCCATATATGCACATCTTGATGGCCATGTAACAGTTTAAGTGGGCGAGCTCCTTTTCTGGCATCTCACAACAGATGATCGAGCTCATATTCCTTCCAGTCCAAACTGCATTATGTAAGAGACAAGATTTCACCCAAAGAATTTAACATTTTTAGCTAGGCAAATGTACAAAACTGTGCCTTATACAAACTTGCACAGATAAATAGATCTATAGACTATAAAAGTGTTTATAATTTTAACTGAAACAAAATGCTAATTGGCAATTTAACATGTTAAACTGTAATTCTTACATGCTGTAATTTAACCTACCATAAATGGTGTAAAATTATATTGCATTTAATGGAATTAATAACTACGACTAATTTTGCAGAAAAATACTGTCTAAATTTTTTTTTTTTGAAGTAAAAATTATGCATTATCATATAATTTACAAGGTGAAAATCTATATTATGTTCAACAAGACAACATTTTTGAAGTCAGACTTATCATTGGATTGAAAAATAGATAGTTTTATAAGCCTGCTGTAATTTAAATGATCATATATGGTTGAATATTATATTGCATGCACTTTTACTGTAAAATACTGTTATGCTTTTGGGAGTAAAAAAAATTAATTATCTAATTTAGGTGAAAATCTATATTATACTCAGCAAGACAACATAATAGTCAGATGATAGATAGACAGATAGATAGATAGCACAACAGTCAGATGTCAGTCAGTGGCTTCTCTCACCTGGCGCAAACTGACCCGGACCGGGTACACGATATCAGACCCCTCTCGTCGAAAGTGGGCGTGAGGCTTGTCTTTAATGACAAACACGATATCGGCAGGAATAGTATTAGGCGATTCGTCACCCTCGCGTGGAAACGTGATTTTAGTTCCCTCTTTCCACCCGCGCTTGATCTCAATCGTGAGGATTTTGTCCTCGGTTCTCAAGGTCCGCCCGTCCGGATTCAAGCGATTGCGTGAGATTTTCATGCGCTTGGTGCATCCATGGAACACCTCCTCTAGAGACACCCGGAGCTCGTGGTGGATCGCGGGGTCCTGTTTTCTGCGCGGCGGACCGCCCTGACCAACTCGCTCGCGTGGAAATCCATTTATGTTAAAACTCGTAAAAGAACCAAAGGGGTCACTTCCGTCCACCTCCATGTCATCGTCATCCCGTCCATTGACTTTCCTGCCAAAAAATATCTCGAAAGGATTGGCTCCCCCGAAAAACGTGGCAAACGTCGCGTGAGGATCTCCATGGAAGGTGTAGGTGAAGTTACCTCCTGGCCCGTCGGACACCCCTCCACCTCCTTTAAGGCCTAAAATGCATAGATTTGACAGAAAACACGTTATTATCTCTGGGAGAAAGACTGAGGAAGATTTAGGCCACAGGCCTCATGATGTTAAAAGCTTGAATTACAATGCACCCCACTGCGGTCCCCCTAAATAAACACAAATCATATACGCACGTCAGACCAATTATTTATAATTACAACAGCGGTGACATCCAGTTTCGACTCTTAAATACACAACATTTACAGAGCTTCGCTTCCGATTTTAAAGAATGCGTTGATTGAGCACTAAAAGGACAAAAAAGCTTGACTGCTATGGTCAACTTTGTATAGTGTAGCCTATCCTGAGATTCCGTTTTCATTACTCCAACATGTAGCCTACATCCGAGATATTTAAGAGATTAGCAGACAGAAGGATTAAGCATTCATATTTTCGCTGTTATTTCGGAAAATACAGAGATGAAGGAAGCCTACCCTCTTCGCCGTACTGGTCATATATTTCTCGTTTCTTTGGATCACTAAGAACTTCATAAGCCTCCGCGACCTCCTTGAATTTCTCCTCCGCATTGGGCGTCTTGTTTTTGTCAGGATGCCATTTCAGAGCCTGCTTTTTGTACGCCTTTTTGATGTCGTCGTCTGATGCTCCTCTTGCGATTCCCAATATTTTGTAATAATCTTTGCCCATGTTCTCCTATGCAGACCCGGTTGGCGCCGCTTCCCGAGGATTCGTCAGTCTCTTGAAAAAGAAGTGAATAAAAGCACTGTCGGCTACGGTGTTAAATCCTGCCTCTTTAAACCGCGATACAGATGATCAGTTGATCCTATTGTGTCTGTTTGGAGGCGGTTACTCAGCACTAAAGATCTTGTGTTATTTTACCATCTTTAAATAGCCATTGCTCCCTCCCCTGTACCAGTGCAGCTCTGGAATCAGAGTGTGCTTTCTAGAACGTAGCTGAGGCACGTCATTTCCCATTTCAGATAAATCTATCTATCTATCTTACATATCATAAAGTAGGCTATGTTTCAGTAGATAATAGAATGTTATTATAGCCTACCAACCTTGAACATCTACAAAAATCTGATTTGCGCATTAAAATATATTCATAGCCTCATAATAATGCAAGTGGCAAAAGTGGAAAGACATCTGATGACTTAATCTTTTGATGAAGTTCAAAGTTGGACTTTCCATGAACACTGGCTAAGAATAGACTAAACACAGTATTAAACAAACACAAAACACCACCAGGGAAACATACATGACAGTAATATAACGAAATAAACTTTAATAAACAACGTAAATCAAATATAATCAACATATGTTCCAAAAAAAATCCCATCATCCATTGATTTATCTTTTAAATTATTTCAAACATCAGTATTCAATGTTTTATGTTAAAAACAAAACACAATCTATCTATCTATCTATCTATCTATCTATCTATCTATCTATCTATCTATCTACAGTATGAAAACAAAATCTGACAAGAAAGAGGTTCCACTTTATTTCATTTGCTATATTCTTGTATGAGAAATAAGGCAAAGAGAGTAGTACAATTTAAATTAAAATGAAATCAAATATGACCCC